TTGTAACAGACAGAATACAGCTGGCTCGCCAAACGATACTGACATGAAGCCATTTCCCAGATAAGCACACAAAAAAAGAAGTGTGTCTAACGTAAAAAGAATCACGTGTCCTGTCGTTAATCAAAATCCCTTCTTTACCAATCGGTGTCATTCACAAAAACAGCTCCAACGTGCTGTTATACTTTAATTTTCTGAAAAGTCAATAGCTACTTTTAAGAATTAACCAGGCTAGGATATTTTTACTTCCAGCATGCTATCAACACCTCCACAGAAAAGCGTCCGTTACCTTTTTTAAATAACCACCACGGTGATCGCTTTAGGCAAATTCTATCTGAAAACTTTTAACTGATGTATTTGCTATCTTTATGTGTATTCAGTAACACATTTAAGCTGAAAAGAGACCTGTTATTAATGTAGTCTTCTAATTTACATTTACTAACACTATATTGTGATCGATAGTTACACTTAGTGAAGTATTTGTGGTGCTATGCATCAAGTCTAGCACCACAGAAGCCATGGAACTGTAAGCCACAATCAGCATTTGCCTCACTGAAATTTGATCAATACGTGCATAATACTGTCATATTTATGCTCTGCAAGCAAGATATAAAATAACAATGATTACACTGATGCATCTGCTTAGCTTATTATAATCACTACTTTGCCCTAACCTCTTGATTAAGACTTAATAAAAAGGTCAAACCGTCATGAATCTGATAATGTTAACTACCCTTTGCAACCACCCGATAGACCTTGTTTTTTTTGTTTTTTTACTGAGAAATACCTTATTAAAAAATAAATAAATAAATAAATAAAAATTAGGCAACCCACACATGTTTCTTCCTAACATTGTCATGTTTGTGGATCTGTAATTTCCCAATTAAATTCTGCTCGAGAAATCATTTACTGCAGGTCACGTACCTAACACAGCTAACCATGTTTTTCTGCATGTGGCAGCTTTATCAATTTAAGAGCAAAAAAAATAAAATAACCTTATGGAGAATATTTGCTTTCCCCCCCCCTATATTTGCTTTTTTCCTCTATAAATAGCACTGTGAAAACTATCTGTACCAAGCAGTCTTTAAACAGTGACTTAATTTATTAAGGGAAAGAGCGAGAGAGAAAAAAAAAAAAAAAAAAAAAGGTATCCAAACCCTCACCATGTGTGAAAAAGTAATTGTCCACTAAACCTAATAAGCAAGAACTGCAATTGAGCATTTGTGATAACTGGCAATGAGTCTTTCACATTTATTATCTTCTTTGCAGAATTGTTTTAATTCAGCCACACAGGATGGTTTCTAGCACTGACGGCCTGTTTAAGGTCATGCCAAACCATCTCCAGACTTTGACTTTCAGGCCGCTCCAAAACCTTGATTTTATTTGTGTGTTTTGTTTTAACCCATTCAATCTGATGGTTGGACATTCCCCTTCAGGATTTTCTGGATTTCATAGTTCTATCAATTATGCCAAGTCATCCAGGTCCTGAAGCAGCCCAAAGAAATTTTTGACAAACATTAGATGAGCCTTTGTGTTCATTTTGGTGAGCAGTGATTTTCACCTTGGAGCTCTCCCATGGATGCCTTATTTGCCCAGTCGCTTTCCTGTTGTTAAATCAAATCAAACTCTGACCTTAACTGAGGCAGGTGAGGCCTGCAGTTCTTCAGATATTATTCTGGGTGCTTTTGTGACCTCCTGGATAAGTCGATACGGTGTTGGAGTAATTTTGGTAGGTGGCCACTTCTGGGAAGGTTCACCACTGTTCCAGGTTTTCATGGCTCTGACCATGGTTTGCTGGAGTCCCAAAGCCTTAGAAATGGTTTTATAACCCTTTCCATACTGATAGATGTCAACGACTTTGTTTCTCTCCTGTTCTTAAGTGTCTTTTAGATGAGATCTTTCAGCCCAATTCATTTCGTCAGACAGGTTGTTTTTAAGCAATTTCTTGATTCAACAGGTCTGGTAGTAATCAGATATGGGTGTGGCTATCAAAATAAAAAAGAACCAAAAATAAATAATAAATTAACTGTGATTAACAAACCAGGCAGATTTGGATCATTTTTCCCCCCTTAAAAAATGTAATCATTTAAAAACTGCATTTTGTTTTTAATTGGGTTACCTTTACCCATTTATTTTGGGTGATTTGAAACATGTGTGGAAAAATAAGCAAAAAAAGAAGCCCTTTGATTTTACACAACACTGTATATAGTAACTAAATATCGCATGCGCCTTAATACATCGGCTTCATTTTCAACTCATTCAAATGATTAGCACCATTTTCACCTCACTACCGCTTAATTAGAAAATCTAACACATGCAGGGAATAACTGGCTTCTACGTTCAGGGATGATTATCATTTCTGCATAAGCTCTGAAATGTCCAATGTTGTAGACGATCAACCAATACTTTTGCATTTTTATGACTTGGTTTTGCTGAGACGGATCCATAACCACATCTCCCCAAATGTTTATGCCAGTTTCACGTCATAAATACACATGAGCTGCGTATTGTTTCTCAAGGATTTGCTTTTGTTTCAAACATGAAGGCCTCAGAGCATAAATATTATCTATATTCAAGCCCCTGCGGGAGCTAGCGGTTGAACCCTTACAGCTCATGGTGTGGATGTGTTTTAACTCCATGCTGCTCAGCAGACAAGCTGACCACCTGTTTATGGCAGACATTTGGAAAGTCGTTTTAAAAAACAAAAAACAAAAAACAAAACTGACATTAGATGAACAGGCCATTTCAGTCTGAGTCCATTCATTGAAAACTTGAAAACAAAATGAACAAAATAAATTATAGTCTCATTCTCATGTAGTCAGCTATTACTAATTTATGTCAATCTGTGTTTACAAAATGAAGTGGGGAGATTCATCGGTGTCCTAGGCTGGGTAAAGTCCTCCATCATTAAAACAGCCAATAAAAACTAACGTCCAGGAAGCAATATTAACATTAAGTGCCAACTACAGATGTATTTTATGGCGTTATGATTGGCATGCTGCATAGCCCAGCCATAAGTTCTCCTTCAGTTTTGCTTGTCATCTCTACACAAACACTGAGTATTACTTAGAGTGAAAAGCTAAGGTCAAGCAAGGCTACCAAGCATCCAGTGCATTAGCTTTAGTTACAGACCACAAATACTTCCAGGATAAAAGCCGATGCAAGACCCCTGTGTACCGTAAAGATGACAAACAACACCACTTACACATGTAGATGATGTGGACACTGATGGAAGGAAAACAGCAGTTAACACACAAAGGATTGCTAACGATGCGATGCACACCTTTGCACTGGCTGCTGCCAATCCACTAAGCATTACTAGAATTTGCTTGATTATCTCCATTTGCACATGATTATCGGTAACCTGGCTAATGTGTGCTCTTAAACAGGCAGCATGCCTAATGGAGGATGCATCGACTACAACAGTTACATTTCTGCTCAAAACAAAGCTTAATCGCCATTGCACTAGTCTTAAGGTTACTGCACTGGCCTGGGCACAGAAAGACGGTCCTGTGTCTTCGGTGCTAGTAGCTAGCCAAACAGGCTCAATGGACTTTGGAGCTGACGCGTTAGAGTAACGTTAGCTAGCGAGCAGATTTCGCCACCAAGATTTGCTCGGTCATTTTAATGGAATTTCCCTTCTATATGCACAAAAAGAACAACACGAACAAGTAGGAAAGACGTGCGGCTTAAAATGTTTCACGATACCTTTCTGGACCTTCACCACTGCCGTGGTATGTAGCTGAAAACACAGTCCGTGTTGGGGACGTGGAGAGCTGGGACCAAAGATGGCGTCCCCTCCAAACTTCCACTACTTTGGATACTCATCAAGCTACTTTTCGTGTGTAGGTGCTGCAGCGCACATGGGTAGGCTTTAACACTGACTGAAAAACTGACCGACTGGCGTGCCCTGTGTGACTTTAGAAGGGCTCGGTGACTGCCAGTAGGTGAAAATGTCTAATTATTGTGTTTTAAGGACACAAACCTCTTCACACCTCAGTAGCGAGTCCGGGCTCCGGGCCCACCTCTCCGTCTTCAAGTGGTTG